TCAGGCACGGCAGCAGCGCCAGCAGCCCGCAGGCGGTAGCCCACCCCGGCTCGGCCTCGTCCGCCACCCCGGCGGCCAGCGCGGGGGCCCGGGACAGCACGGCATGGCGCAGGCCGCGCAGCGCCGCCCAGCCCGGCGCCCGCCGCAGCCGCTCCTCCAGCACCGCCGCGTTGCTGCGCAGCGTCTCCGGTCGTAGGGCGCTCTCCGGGCCGGGTTCGGCCCCGCCATCCCGCTCACCGGGCCCGGCGGGCGGCCGCAGCAGCAGCTCCAGCGCCTCTACCACCTGCTCCAGCTGCGGGGCCGGCTCCGGCTCCGTAGCACCCGCCATCTTGGGGCCCTCCGTCGAGGGGAGGAGCATGGCTGCGCGCCGCCATCTTGGGGAGGTCGGCGGAGGGGGAGGAGCGACACCGCCCGCCGCCATCTTGGGCGGGGCGGGAGGAGGTGGCGGAGCGGCGCCATGTTGGGGCCTGGCCTGAAGGGGGAGCGGCCGCGGCTGCGGCCGCTCGGTGGTGCCCGGCCGCGGGTGGTGCCTCTTGATCACGGCAATTCGGAACTCGGCTTCTTCCCAGCGGGGAACACAGCTGTCTCCTCCTCGGCCACCGAGGTGGGAGGCCGGCAGTGTAGGCCCCTGTCTCCAAAGGTGTCAACAGCACCCACCCCTCTGGCTGGTAAGGTATTTCAGGAGAGCTCCCGCCCCCAAGGCTCGCCCCTGTGCCTCTGGGTGCCTCGAGCAAAATTTAGCAGCTTCCAGAGAGAAAACAGCAAGTCCGTCTACAAAAGGGAGAGCCCAAACGCATCTCCATATCGTAAAGTGCGAGTGGAGGCGGAGGTGTGCAAGGCAGCCTGCTCTTAGGGTCAGTGGCCAAACCTGCCTTTGGAATAAACAGCTTATGTGCATGTTGCAAAGCACATAAATTAGCAACTTGCCTCTCCAGGACTGTAACGAGGCGGGACGACTGCAAAATCCTTCACCAGCCTCTGAGGCTGCTTGTGCGTTTGAAAGCTTTCAAACGCTGCTGGGCATGTTATTCTTTTGTGTTTCCTCACCAGGCAGGGCCTCTGGAAGGGGTCACAGCCATTTCAGGGCTGGACAAACACCAGTGATCTCTCACTCATGGCCGACGGCCTCGCCTCTGCTGCGCAGGGTGGGGTGTGGGCACTGCACACGCAGCCACCGTGATAAGGTACAAGCCTTGTTTTTCATGCCATGTCCCACTCCTCCTTTCCCCAGGGCCTGGCCAGGCAGACTCAGCACAAGGCAAAGCCGTGACCTGCTGTCGGCTGCAGCCCAGCCTCCTCACGGCCCCTGGAGATGAGAAAAGACAGTGCTCTGCTCCGGATCTGTCCCTGTTGCAAAGAAGAGGCAGCAGCAGCAGCTGTGGCCGTGCCGAGGAGCAGCTCTCTGTGGGGCAGACCTGCCTCTGAGCATGGACACAGCGAAACCAGCAGAGCTGCACACAGAGAAAAGGGCTTTTGATTTTCTTAAAACAATTTATTATTTTAATTTCATATAAAAAAACCCATACAATCAATTACTAGTCAGCCACTGTCGGCTTCCCAGTCCGCCTCAGACCCTCTTCCCATAATAAAAAAAATACAAACCGTGACAACAGCTAAACACAAAGTTCAGAATTTCAATAAAGCCATTTGATTTCCAAAAGCGCCTTTCATTGACTGCACAATAATTAACACCCGGCACAACACAGAAGGAAATCATAATTATCTGGGATACAGAAAAATAGAAATCTGCCTGTAAGTACTCTATCAAATACAATTACCTTACATATAGTACATCTTTGGTCCGTGTTTATCGATCAACTTGCCTGCGCGAGCAGAGGTGCGGTGCTGGGACTGCCCCGCTGCTCCGGTGCCAGGTCAGGAGGTATTTCGGAGAGTGCCAGAGAAACCATTTTTCCCCCTCACAGCAAAGGCAGGGAGGTGGTGGTAGGCTCTCCCCACGGGGGAAGGGGAGCTGATCCTGACCCCTGCAGCCTCAGCTGCAAGATGGGGAACGTACCAAACAGGGGTGTCCATTCGGGGGCCAGCCGAGGGAAACACAAAGGCTCCCCCAAAAAACACCCCCAAGCCCATATGACCCTATGCTTCCCCTGCACTGACCGAGGGGGACGTGGACACCGGGTTGAGGGGGTGTTGGAGGGGTGCTGTTTGTCCACTCAACAGGCAGAGACCGACGCGAGTGCAGTGGGGTGAAATGAGGTGAGCTGCCTGCGCCGGGCGGCTGCCGGCCGGGTTGGGGCCGAGGGGTGTCCTAATCCTCCTCCTCCCCACCACCATAGAGGTCCGCCAGCTTCTTGAAGCGGCTGCCCCACTCATTGAGGTAGTCGTAGTCCTGGTCACCGTCGGAGGCAGAGGAGTTGAGGGAGCTGAGCGAGGTGGCCTCCGAGCCGCTGCCCTCGTAGTCGAACACCAGCAGGGAGTCGTAAGGGGGGGCCGTGGGGTCCGTGTCAGCCGCCTTCAGGTTCTGGGGTGGGGGGGGCAAGAGGGGTCAGCAGCCGTCCCCTGGGGGTTTGGGGACACCACCGGGTGGGTGGCACCCCAATGGTGCCTGCATGGATTGGGGCTCCATCCCCAAAGCACCGCATGAGGTCAGGGCTCACCTCATCGATGAAGTTTCCAATCTCGTCGGGGTTGGCGGGCCGGGGCCGGTACTGGGGGGCAGCCATCAGTGGGGGGGCCACATCATTGCGGATCACCTCCGGGCGAGCGTCCAAGCCCCGGTGCAGCTGGCTCAGGTCATAGTCCTGGTGTTGGGGGGGAACATGAGGAGATGATGTTCAAGGGATGCTGAGGGCATCACTCTGCTGGGACCCGGGGCACCATGGGCACCAGTGACCACAGAGGGGTCTACAGCAACCTTGCGCACCCTGAGCATCCATCATGGCTTGGGGAGCAAGGCCACCACCCGCCACAGAGAGGGTGCCACAGGGACCCTGCAGGCAGGGTCCGGCCTGGCACAGGTGTCCCACCTGGTCCTCCTCACCACCACCCTCCTCGTCGTAGTGGTAGACATTGTCCCGCATGTCATCCTCGGGTGGGAGCAGCGGCTCCTTCACTACCGTCCTCCGCCTGGCGAAGAGCAGCAGCAGCAGCAGCAGGACTGCGAGCAGAGGGCACTGGTGTCAGGGCGGCAGGGCAAGGGTGGCTCCATCCCCATCCCGTCTCCATCCCATGGTACTCACTCAGCAGCGCCAGGATGCCTCCCAGGATGCCCAGGATGGCAGGGACACCCAGGCCACCGGCGACGTACGCTCGCCGCTCGCAGTTTTTGGCTGGCCCTTCGCAGTCGCACACCTGAGCTTTGACTGGCGTCACCTGCGCCTTGCCCTGGCCATCTGTCAGCTTCAGGAAGATGCTGTACTCCCCTGGCTCCAGCTCCTTCGTCAGTTTCAGCACCAGCAGGTCTTGCAACAGAGAGAGGGGTTGGACTCACAGATGGGTCCCGGATCTCCCGTTTGGGGACACCCTTGGCACTGGTGCAGGGCTTTGCCACGTGGCAGTTCCCCTGCCCAGTGCCCATCGTGGGGGCTGGCACCCGTGGCACTCAAGGGAGTGCAGAGAACCAGGGGTGCTGGGATCTGGGCACCACTTGGCATCTCCCCACCGCCTCCACGATGAAGGTGGGTAATCAGGACAGACCAGGTGGCCCCTACCTTGTCCGGTCACCCTGACGGTCCAGTTGGCGCCAGAGCCGTGTTCCAGCGCTGCCAGGAAAGGGTAGGTGTTGGGGGGCAGGTCCTTGTCAACGATGTTCAGTGTCTGCTCCTCAGGCTGCCGGCTGCAGATGTCGAAGATCCGGGGCTCTGGCATGGGCCCGTTGTCATTCACGTCCTGGAGGAGGAGGAGCAGCGTCCCCGTGCCGGTGGCATCCGGTGACCCTGTGGGGCCAGGGGTTAGTAAGGTGCCTGGGGAAGAGGTCCCAGATGCCCCAGCCCAGGGCAGGGAGCAGCAGCACCTTCCCAGAGGGCAAGACAGGGTGCTCCTCACCATTGTCCACAGCCAGGACGATGGCCTTGTAGGTGCTGTTGATGGCGTGCACTGACTCCCGGTCCAGTGGCTGGGTGGCTGTGACGATGCCATTCTCGGGATCGATGGCCAGCCACCCTGCGGGGTCACTGCCCATGCGGTACCTGGGGCAAGCGAGGGGTCAGCAGGGGAGCATGGGGCATGTGGCACAACGGGCACGCCAGCACAGCCCCCCACCACTGGCCCCTACACTCACGTGATTCTCTGCCTCTGATCCCTGTCCGGGTCCTGGGCTGTGTAGGAGGTGACCTGGTGCCCCTGTGGCAGGTCTTCCATCACCTCTACCTTCTTGACTGGGGGCATGAAGACGGGAGGTTCATTCACATCTCCAACTGTCACCAGGACGCTGGCCGTGGAGAGCGGTGGGGACATAGTGAAGGGGATGGCGTTCTCTACTGTCACCACAAGGTTGTACTGGCTCTTGGTCTCGTAATCCAGGCCCTGGGGGTGAGCGGGAGAGAGGAGCCAGGGTAGTGCCAGAGCTGGCAGGGAGGCAGCCAGTACCAGGGTAGCTGTGTGGTAGCAAGACCAACCTTGGCAGTTTTCAGGATGCCATTGTTGTTTTGGGGGTCAGTGATGATGGTGAAGTCACCATTTGGGTCCCCAGATTTGATGCGGTAGACAGCTTGCCAGGCAGGGGAGCCCTGCAAGTCCTTGTCCGTCACCTGCAGCTGGGTCACCACCACCCCCACCTCGTTCTCATTCACCGTCCCCTCGTACTGCAAGAGATGGGATGGGGACAGTCACCCACATGGTCCCGAGCACCCCAAGGTGTGGGGGCTCATGCCACAGTGGCCCAACAAGGGGAGTAGCTTGCAGGAAGTGGCTTGGATACCATGGTGGGGTCGAAGATGGGAGGGTTGTCATTAGCGTCAGTGACTTCCACAATGGCAGTGGCGGTGTTGGTCAGGCCAGTGCCCTCCTGGTCCGCAGCCTGGATGATCAGCGTGTAGTTGGGAGTGGTCTGCAAGACGAAATCACTGTGCTTAGGGTAGGGACAGGGTCTGGCATGTTCCCCTCTTCGAGGGCCATCACCTGCCTGTTCTTCCACCCTTCTACAGCCAGTGTTCACTGTTGGCACAGATCCTTGCTGATGTCCCTGCTGCCCACCCAAAGGGCTAGCAGTTTACCCCCTCCCAGAGCTTGGCAGGGCTGGGGGTCCTTGCACAGATCCCCACAGCTTGGGGCTGCACACTCCCCCAGAGCAGGGGACAGTGACCCAGAGATGGCAAATCCCCGGAATGGGTGGACCCCCGGGGCTCCAGCATCCCTGGCTCCCCACAGCAAGTCCCACTGTGGAGCTGCCACATGGTCCCCCAGGACGTAGCAAGGACCCACCTCCCTGTCCAGCCCTGTGTCGATGACACTGATGATGCCCTTCACTGGGTCGATGGTGAACATCCGTTGTGCACTCTTGGGCTCCTCGCTAAGGATGGAGTAGCCAATGATGCCGTTGTTCATACTAATGGCATCATCTGCATCCGTGGCATTCACGGTCATCACGGATGTGCCTGGGGACAGGGACAAGCAGGGGAGATATTACTCATGGGACAAAACCCTATGGATACCCAGGCACAGCTCTGGCTCAGGGCTCTGCACGGTCCCAGCTGTGGGGCCCCCGGCTCACTGGTCCCCCACATACCCGGCTTCGCGTTCTCCTCGATGTAACCGATGAAGACTTGCTGGGTGAAGACGGGCCGGTTGTCATTCTGGTCTGTCACAGTGATGATGATCTCCATGGGGTCCTCCACAGACTGCCCATTGGCTGACACGGCGTGGGAGAAGAGCTGCGAGGGACACCATCAGCCCACGCACAGTCCCGGGGACTGTCCCCTCCCCACCCCAGCCCCACACTCACGACGTATTTGTCGATCTCCTCCCGGTCCAGTGGCTTCGTCACCTTCAGCCACCCTGTCTCCCGCTCAATGGTGAAGACACCCACGGGGTAGCTGTCTGCCCCCTGCCCTGTGATGCTGTAGAAAACCTTGGTCTCCTTGTCCTTGTTGGATTTGATCTGGAGGCGAGGTGGAAGGAGGGGTTAGAGGGGTCCTGTCACTCTGGGTACTCCCTTGGGTCCCCCACAGGGCCATGTACCTGCACCATCTTCTTGGGGAAGGGCCCCCGATCGTTCTCAGGACAGTTGATGGGGGGGATGACCCAGTCCCTCTTCTGCCGCTGGAGCCTATGGCTGGACTTGGGGAAGGTCAGCACAATGGGCGCCGTGTCCTACAGGGAGAGCAGCTCAGGTTGGTGCCAGCCCCTTTCCGAGCCTTCTGCACACTCTGCCCCGGGGAGAGGGGCTGCACTTTACCTGCTGCTGGTGCTGGCGGCGGTGGTGGTTGTGATGGTGTAACCGTCTGCGCAGGGTCACCCTGGCCGAATGCTTCTTGCCTGTGGCGTCCCAGGTGTGGACAGAGAAGCTGATCTCCTGCCGCTGGAGCTGCAGGGGCCGGGTCGTGGAGACGATGCCATTCCTGCTCACCTTGAAGCGCGTGTCGTCGGAGAGGTAGGCGGCACGCCGGGGCTCACCGCACTCCGCAAAGCTCACTGGGGACAGGGAGAGCGGGTGGGCAGGGGCCCCCGGCACCAAAAACCCATCGAGGGCAGGGCAGGCACAGGACAGTGTGACATGGGCACACAGCCATAGATGCACGGTGCCACATGTCCTGCTGGCATCCCAGCATGGGCAGGGCGTGCGGCACAACGCATGGTGCATCCCTGCCGTGGCTCTGGTGTGGGACCGGGCACGGCACGACCTGCTGTGCCACAGACTCCCTGCTGACCTGTGGCAATGGGGCAAACGGCCCTCAGCAACAGCAGGTCCCTGCTGTGTGTGGCACATCCCTGTCTATAGCGCCGTGTACGGCACATCCCCGCGCACATCGCATCCCCCCCACACACGGCGCATCCTCGTGCCACAGCGTGTCCCTATGTGTGGCACCTCACTGCCACTATGCCCATGGGCAGAGGGTGCTGCTGCTCTGGCTGCTTTTCAAATAAAAACAAGGGTAGCGCCCGCTCACCTGCGCTGGCACCCAGTCCCCTTGCTGGGGGGGGGGGGGGGGGGGGGGGGGGGCACGGCCCTTTCAGCATACACTCGCTTTGGGAGGGTGAAGGCTGTGCCTCTCTTGAGGGGCCTCCTCTGAGGGGAGCGATGGCTTCCCCCCACTCCTGCACCTCAGCGCCAGCAGGGCCTGCCCGAGCCTGGAGAAGCCCTGTGCTGGCAAGGCTGGACCTGTTCCATGGTGGGCACACTGTGGGAAACCTGGCCTGGGATCTCATCCCAAGTGTCCAACACAGAAGAGACCTTGCTAGTGTCAGTAAAGGGAAAATACTCAGATATTTTAGCACCAGCGTAAGTATCACAGAGCAGGGATCTTTGTTGCAGAGGGCTTTTTTTTGCGGCTTTTTCCAGCAGGTCATCTCTTCTGAAGTTCTAGAGAGCTGCCACTGTTTATTTAGTGTTAGTGTGATATTAGCGCCGTGTATGGTCAAGGATGTTGCAGCTGTCATTGTCTAGGTGGTTTTGTTGTTTTTATACCTCTCCCACTGCTTGAGAGGACACACTAGCAAAGTTACTTGACTTCTTAATAAAGGAAATATTTGCTGTGGTATAAATAATTGTACTCAGACAATTAAATCAATGGTACAGAAATTCCCATTGCGTGTGCAAAGTGCCCTTATAAAGGTTTTCATCAATAAAATATCATATAGCTACTAAATGTCAATGCTAGTTGTACCCGACAAGTGCATATCATGTGGCTGTTTACTGCCATTGATTTTTTTTTTACTCTTTCCTTTCAACTTCAGGAAACTGAGTGTAAAAGCCATAACAAATCCTCAGTATTTGGATAATGTGGGGAATCCAGCCAGTAATGGACTGTACGACTTGGCTTTGGGACCTCCAGACTCCAAAGAAGTGTGTGCCACTTGCATGCAGAACTTCAGCAACTGCCCTGGTCATTTTGGCCATATAGAACTGCCTCTGACTGTCTACAACCCTCTGTTTTTTGATGTATGTATTCTTATTTATTGTCTTGCTGGTGAAATGCGTGGTGGCACTCAAGCTGTCATACACTTTGTAGTCCTTGAAAATAGTAAAGGTGCTCACTGCCTTCTATGTGTAATAACAGCAAATATAGTAGAAAAAGTTTGTTGTGTCATGATAGTTCAATAAAAATAGACTTCTTGGACTTTGCAAAATGTACACTTGCAGCTATTATTTTACTCAGTATTGACAAACAAGAGAGGGGGAATGTTTATCGCTAAACTATATGACTGACTGTAGGCTGTCATGCCTTAATTAAATGGAGGGCGGTGGGGTTGGGGGGGGTTGGGGAAATGGGGGGGTGTCACGTCAGCGCCAGGGGCAACCGGGGCAAAGGCGCTGGCAAGTGGCACGTCGCGGCGGCACACCCGCTGACGTCACCCCAGTTTCACCGTGACTTCAGACTGGGCTGACAGGGGGAGCATACAAGCCCCCTTCGTGTCCCCCCCCGCAAGGGCTGGGGGCCAGCCATCCCATCCCATCCCAGCCCCAGGGATGCCGCAGCCCCCACGCAGGTGTTTGCCTCCCCAGCCCAGGCGCCGCGTGGGGCCTGTCCGGACCTGTTGGGAGGGAAAACACCGCTCTCAATTAATCAGCCTAATTACAGGCTGGCTCGTCAGCCATGGGCTCGCGTTGGGTATGGG